TACTCAGCCACTAAGATTTAGCAAACATTTTGCCACGACTACTTCAAAATATTTTAAATCAAAGTAATATATTATTAATAGAATGGAAGACTCCTTTGTACCACTCCGCAATGAAAATTTTCTTCTTAAAATCTATGTGTTCTACTTTTTATAAGTTCTGCAAGAGTTCCTTCTTAGGTGGATTTTGTAAATATGGCATTCCACATTAAGGTCTTTTAGTCAGCCTAGAATTTATTTTTATGTATGGTGTGGGACTGAGCTTTGATTCTTAACCTCCTCTCCATATAGTTACCTAATTGTATCAGGGCTATTTATTTAATAATCAATAATTCTTCCTTTTCTAACGTCATTAAGTTTTTATCCTTTTGAATAGCATATAGGCAATTAAAAAATATCTGAAAATTTTCTTCCTGAGGCAACCTAATGTTCCTTACATGCTTTCTATGTTATTTCAGTTTTTAAAGGATCGATTGACTTCTTTGTTCCTGTGGGGTCCTGGACATGGCTCCTCCAATCCCCATTATAGAAGGCTGTCCAGAGGGCCCCCAACCAGAAGAAATGTGCACAGCTTTGGAAAGGATTGTAATTCCCTCCTTATCTCCCTTTAGGAGCCGATTCTTGTCCTGTGTGACTGCTTCTTGACCTTTTCTCTTTGCATGTACACACTGAGATAATATACTTTACAGTCATGTGCCCCTTTTGTCTGGGGCTCCTTAAAACAAGTCTCAGACTCAGGGAGGTACGGTCCCGATTCACAGATCTGCCACCATCAGTGCTTCTATAATGTGAGTAATAAAGGCTATGTCTGCGCCATCCAGTCCTCCTTGTGTTCTTTTTTTTTTTTTTTTTCAGCGTATCTAAATGAGCAGTCGAGATCTCTGGGCTCGACCCACTGCATTCCAGTTCCACACACACCCCTTCTTTTGGTTTGAAAGTTATACACTCTCTTTCTATTCATCTAGAGATTACCATTAAAACTTTAACATGCATTCTTGTACTTCTGCATTCCTTGTGAGCAGAGACACCGAGTGCTCTTTGTTCTGGATTATCTTTTCAAATATGATTGTATAAGAACAGCCTCAGGAAATAAAAGAGAATCTCCTTTTGCAGCAAAGGATACTTATAGCTTTGAAAGAAAAAGACAGTGTTCTTTTTTCTCTCTTTAGAGTAAAGGGAAGGCATACTTACTGTCAACTTTTTAAAAATTCAAATTCCTTATGCTCAGAGTGCCTGTCCCATGATCTAATTCACTGCACATGCAGGTATCATCTAGACCCTCTTTTATTTGTCTCAATGATTTGGGGGTAAGGGGAACCAATACAAATATACAAATGTTCAGGCTGCTTGCTCTGCTGTGAGTGGTAAAGTCCTTTGCTTCTGACCCAAGGGTCTTATGTTTTCTGCCAATATCCATGAATCAATAACAGGCTCATTTATTAGCTTTTAAGTAGGATAAAATCAAAACCTGGATTTGAAAGGATCCCTGATTTGATATCTAATTATAATGAACACATTATTTTACTCTCAAACAATGAAAACATTAGAATACTTTTATGCTGAGGTCAAACCTACTTTTACCTTTCATGTCATTTTTATCTAGACTATTATTTCCATCTTGCTGTTAGCCTTTCTAAAATTAATTTTATATATAAATATGAAATTGTCATTGTTTAATTTGCAAATTTGTGAGGATTAGATGGATAGTTTATTAAAGAACATAAAGCAGTACTTGGTACACAGTAAAAAACACTTAATATGTGTTCAGAATAGGTTTTAATAGTGTTTTCCACTTACCACTATTTCTTACATCATTCAAAATTCAATTTTTCTGAATAACTAAAGCAAAGATAAATTATTTTTCCTTTTGTGATTCCTTCCTTAACAACATCTATATCATGAATATATCTAAGGATTTAACAGACTGGCTTTATGATTCTATATATATTTTCATGCATAAATGTTTTCAGTCAATCTATAACATTAACTGAGCCAATGTACCATTCTGTTCAGCACTGAGCATAATTAGGGGCTTTCAAGAAAATTTTTGGAATTATCCCTTCTTTCCATCTGTATCTTAGTTATTAATATTTGTTCCCTCAAAATCTAACACCATTACCAAGTAACCCTCAAAATCTAACACCATTACCAACTCAGCACTTCTATAATTTCTTCAATTCTACCAAAAGATTTCATATAATATTGTCTTGTATCATACCTCATATTATAATGTAAAGAGAAAATTGGTGCTATTAATAAAATGAATACTTAACACAAAGACATGTACACTAGTTAATGTTTTTACAAGGTTTTCATCTGTAACCATAATTATAATAGGGCTTGACTTATCAACATATAACATGTGTTCTTTTGCAGCCCTCACTGAATAAACTATGTGTGTATTCAAATAAAAGATGTTCCTCCATAAGCCTAGAAGCAAACGGCACCGTGCATGTTAAGGATGGTTACTTTAGGCCTGATGACCCATGACAGTTACAGCAGTAAGTAATGGGATAGGAGGAGCACTTCCACATTGTAGTCTCCATTCTCCCAATGCAAGATGAACCAGCCTCGGGGAACAGGATTGTCAAATGACAGAAATTAAACTTTTAGCTCTGTGACTAATTAGTTTTGTTGCCTTCCCAAACATTAAATTCTTATTTATTTAAACACTGAAATTATCTATTTCATACACCTTATAGATTGGCTTTGAAAATCAACTAAAATATGATTTACAAAAGTATGTTTCACGTCAAAGTACTCTGTAAGTTGCTTATACTGTGTTATTGTTAATACTTTAAATGTATTAATGGAATGTTATTATAAACATTTTTCATTCCCAATCTTGATATGCAGGTCTATGTATATAAACCTTAAGAGGAAAAGCAAGAGGGAATAAGGAGATCTCTATCTCAAAAGGAATTTTTGAGGTTTATAAAAACCTACAATACTATTCTTTCCTTTATGTCCCTTACTCTAGGGGGCATATTGGTGAAAACATTGCTGCATGGAATACCTGAAATTTCCCAGCCTATGGGTTTTCCTCTAGGACTTTTATGGTGTCGTGACTTATATGTAAGTCTTTTATCCATCTTGAGTTTATTTTTGTATATGGTGTAAGTTGGTGGTTGAATTTCATTTTTCTGCATGTAGCTGTCCAGATCTCCCAACACCATTTATTGAAGAGGCTATTTTTACTCCATTTTATGCTCCTGCTCCCTTTGTAGAATATTAATTGACCACAGAGACATGGGTTTATTTCTGGGCTCTCTATTCTGTTACATTGTTCTATGTGTCTGTTCTTATGCCAGTACCAGACTTTGTAAGAGTGGCCTTGTAATACAGTTTGATGTCAGGTATTGTAATCCCTCCTGCTTTGTTCTTCTTTCTCAAAATTGCTGTGGCTATTTGGGGTCATTTATGGTTTCATACAAAGTTTTAAAATTTTTATTCTATATCTGTTAAATATGCCACTGGTGTTTTAGTAGGGATTGCATGGAATCTATAAATTGCTTTGGGTAGTATGGACATTTTGATGATGTTAATTCTTCCAATCCATGAATATGGTATATGTTTCTATTTGTTTGTGTCTTCCTTAATTCTTTCTTCAGTGTTGTACAGTTTTCTGAGTACAGGTCTTTTACCGCCTTGGTTAGGTTTATTCCTAGGTACTTTATTTTTTTTGTTGCTATAGCAAATGGGATTTTTCTCCTTATTTCTGTTTCTGATATTTCATTGTTGGTGTAAAAAATTCCTTTGATTTCTGAATATTGACTTTGTATCCCACTATTTTGTCAAATTCACTTATTAGGTCAAGTAGTTTTTTGGTGGAGTCCATAGGGTTTTTCTATGTACACTATCATGTCATATGCAAACAATGACAGTTTTACTTCTACCCTAAGAATCCTGGAACATCAATTCAAAAGAACCTATACACCTCAATGTTCACAGCAGCACAATTTACAATAGCCAAGTGCTGGAAAGAGCCTAAGTGATTACCAGTACGTGAGTGGATCAAAAAACTATGGTACATTTACACAATGGAATACTATACAGCAGAAAGAAAGAAGGAGCTCCTACCCTTTGAGACAGCATGGATGGAACTAGACAGCATTATGCTAAGTGAAATGAGCCAGATGGTGAAAGACAAACACCGTATGATCTCACCTATAAGTGGAACCTAATCAACAAAACAAACAAGCAGGCAAAATATAGCCAGAGACACTGAAATAAAGAACAAATTGACAGTAACCAGAGAGGAGAGAGGAGGGGAAAATGGGGGACTGAGGGGGAAGGGTCATCAAGAAACATGTATAAAGGACCCATGGGAAAAGCCAAAGGAGGGTAGGATTGAGGGTGGGAGGTGGGGGTGTGTGAGGCAAGGTGGGGTGTGGGGAAAATGGAGACAACTGTACTTGAACAACAACAAAAAACCCTAAAATACTATATTCTAACTTCCTCTTAAGTATGTGACTCCATGTCACATACTGCAGATGAGAAATAGGCTAGGCCCCACCCTTTACAAGTCAACTCTGACTTTTAGTTGAATATGGAGTACTCAGCTAAAAGCTGAGAAGCCAATGAAGTAAGCCAAAATCTTGCAAAGCTCCCGAGATAACATACCAAGGAAAACACTGAGGCTACTTAAGAATTCACTAAGTTCAAATTTCTTACTTCTATAAAAATAGGCCCAAGTATCATAAAACCCAAGTAAAAACACTTAATAGCACAGTTTAACATAACACTAACACTAATGTGTTTTTCAAAACAATTTGAAAGAATTAAGTATGTTAAGAAAAACAATAAGGTATATTCCCTTTACCTAAAGGGAGAATAGGAAAGGTAACCACACAGACTTTATAATAGAATAATATAATTAGTAGCAGGCACTTGTTCAGATACAAACTTATGACAACAAAAACTTTAAAAACAGCACTTTTTTGTGTTGCTAATTTCTGCTTTATTTTTTTTACCTCATGTTAATTAACATGCCAGGTACTTACATCTGGAATAAATCCAATCTCATTGAGATGATTGCTCAGCTCTGGATCATGGAATGCAATCATCTGGGAGAACACAGTCAAGTACTCTGAAATGACGATGAAATTAAAACAATCATCATTGTCACACAGTACATCAAGTAAATGCATTAAATTCATACAAATTGGCTTTATTTACATTTTGAAAAAATTTAATTTCTTCATGAAGAAAATGTGCTTTAATAGATAATTCTGTTTTGTTACCACTTTAGTCAGTCACACACTGCTAATTACCAAATAAATATACCAACGAACTCTGATATAACTTTTTTCTACATTCAGAGCTATCAGTTCATTTCTTTAAATACAAATTATACATATGATGAATAACATTTCCTATTTTCTACAAAGAAATTTTCTTTTTTAAAAAATTTTATTTATGTATTTATAGAGACAGAGGAAGGGACAGAGAAAGAGAGGAAGAGAAACATCAATGTGTGGTTGCCCCTCAAGTACTCCCCACTAGGGACCTGGCCCGCAACCCAGGCATGTGGCCTGACTGGGAATGGAACCAGCCACCCTGTGGTTTTCAGGCCAGCACTCAATCCACTGAGCTACACCAGCCAGGGCAATTTTCTTTGTTAATATTAAGTTGTATATATTTTATGTTCAGAAAATATAAGAGGTAATAGATAAATAAGGAACACTTTATAAGCAGTCACAAATAGAATCATTAAGCATCAAATTTGTTTACATATATAGATATAAGTCTTTGTTTCTGTTCTAATTTATTACCATAAGAGACTCTGCATTTGGTATATTTAGAAATAAGGATTAACATCGTATTAATCAGAAAATAAGAATTGGTACATAATTAAAATGTTGATTCTAATCCTATTAATTCATAGGGTTCAGTTGGAATATGAGGAATATTTTCTAAAATTTTTCCCCTTTTCCAGCAATTTACTATTATTGTTAATTTACTCACTGTGTCCTAATCTAAATAATATATTTGTAACAATCTACTCAAGGGCAAGTAACCAAAATTTTTTTACATATTAAAAATATTAAAACATTTCAGAAAGGTCCCTTTTTTGAGATTGAAATAACAGTAACCTAATGAAAGTCCCTCTTGATTAATAACCTCAACTCTTTTCTTCAATAAAGTTAGCAATCTATTTTCAAAATAATTATTTGCCAAAAATAACCTCCAAATATGTCTACTTTTCTTTTTTTAGTTTTAGAAGTTATTTTAATGTTTCAAGAAATGGTATAAATATTTTGACAATCTGTTAGTACGAGTAGCCTTCCCTTATTTTCTGCAACTAAAACTTTGCTTCTGATGGCCACAATTATTTTATAATTATTTATCTATAAGCAATGTTATATATTATACAAAGAGAAGCACCAAAGCCAAGAAAAGAAAAGATGAGGAGGTACTGTATTCAGTGCCACAGTTGGCCTCGGCTGGGTACTCAGTTGGTTAGAATCTCCAGGGAGGACACACATACTAGAAGCAACCAATGAATGCATAAATAAGTGGAATAAGAAATTGATGTTTCTCTCTCTCTATTTCTCTCCCCATCTCTAAAATCAGTTTTAAAAACACAATAAAGCTAAATTTCACAATTAATGTGACATTTTACCCATGATTGCTAAATAAAAAATGGGTTAATACTTTTGATTAATACTTTTTTTTTGTGATTTGATGTTTATTCTACTGCAACAAAATTCTATGTATACATTGTCTCATCTTTTCTTCTAAGAACAACAACAAAAAAAGTACAATTACATCAGGTTCAAGAGTTACAGACTAAAGACTAGGACAGATCCCAAGGACCCAGGAAACTTTGAGGTTTAACTTTTCTTTAGGTATTTTTCTCCTTCCAATTAGTGATGGTATATTTATAGTCCTAATTTACCCAAAAGCCAGAGGTATGCAATATCAACAACCATAAGAATTCAACTCCATGTTGATAAAACCATATAGTTATTAATTTAAAAAAAAACATGCTTGATTTTAAACAGAAAAACATAGCTCAGGCAATTTTCCACAACTGTTATTGTTTACTAAATATTATTCTTATATGAGCCTGATAAAAGTAATTATCAACCAAAAGTGGTTGTTTACGGTTCCATATAAATTACCATTCCATTAGCCATCCCATGGCTAATTAAGGATCTAATGAAGAAACCTAATTTATCATGAAAACATTTTCCTTGTGTTTTGCCAAACTTCGATGGCTGATTTATAAGTGTGTTATAATATATTTATGTTATAAATAATAGACACAAATATACATGTATACATTTATTATATATATAATTATATAACATATTATTTAATATATGTAAACAGTTGTATATAAATATAAGTCATAAATTCTAGTTGCTCAGGACACACTTAGAATCATTTATAGTACAGCTTGTTACATTCAGAAAAATGTCTTCCTTTAATGGGGGGATAAGATAGGCACATGGTGCAAGATATTCTTGCAAATCACAAGGCTATACACTCAATGTATTCCCTAATATTGCCCAGTATCCCCACTATCCTATCATTAAATCACTCATGACAAAGATGGGCATTAAGCTGGAAATACATAATGCACTGCTTTTCCAAATACATAACCTTTATAGTAAAGTTGCATATTTTCCTTCTCTTTTTGTGGTTGTTTGATGAGAAAGAAGTCTTATTTTATATTCACATTTGACAACAGTATTTTAGACTTGGATGTCTATCTTCCCTCCTCCGTTTCCCTCAAAGACTTATTGAATGTCCATGTAGTGTAACTGTATATCCTAGTTTACCTGGGAGAGTCTTAATTGCCAACAGTAGATTCAGTGTCTAGTGCACTTACTGCCCCTTTTAACTCTCAAAAATATCACAATTTAAAATGCTTTATAGTCTTCCCAGCTATAGGTGACACCACATTAAATGGAATTTCACAACAGGGAAGATACTGACCTTGCCCTCAAAGGATTTAGAAAGATAAGCAGGGAAATAAAAAATTGGGGAAATTTTCACCCAATTCTCTTTCCCAGATTTATATGTTATCTCCTTCCATCTTTCCTTTTGTGACTTATAAAAACCACATCTTACAATGGTCCCAATGTGAACATGCCTTGATTTTATAAACAGTACAAGAATATGTTTAATGTTGTTCCAGAATTCCAATGATTGTTTTGGTGAAAAAAATACAATAGAATGGCTTCAAAGAACAGTGTAAAAGTTTTGTAGGTTGGTTTTATGGGTTGCTTCTTTCTTAAGTGCAAAGTGACATTAAAGTATAGTTGGGTTTTCCATAAAGGATTTGTTCTCATTCTTAATAGCTAAATGGCTGCCTCTTTCTTTACTTGCCTAAAGTTGCCTTTTCTTTCTCCAAATAGTATAAAATATCTCTGCCCTGAAAGTTATAAGCCTATTTTCCAACATCTTTGAAAGTGTATAATATCATTTAAATCCAACTGGTATTCTAATATTCTGAATAATTATTCTTAGAATAATTTTAGCAATCTTAGATATTATAGAAGCTAAAACCCTGAGTTGTTAAATTAGCACATTAGTTTTTTTTTAAATTCCTGTGTGTTCCTTCTTTATCAACTCAATAGCAGCATCACAGGGAAAATTTGATAGTTCTAAAAATGATGAATATTAATTTAGGCCAGTAGTAATGAAATTTATTATCTTAAATATGTCCTCAGGTAATCAATAAATAGCACCATGAAAAAAACAAAAACAAACAAACAAAAAAACAAACTCAGGATATCTGGACTAAATAGATCATTTTTCTCTCATCAAAATACGCAAAGCATTTTAGAGTCTGAATATGTAAATCCTATATAATATGAATGGCTTAAAAAAATTAAAATTGCTCTTGAATATAGAAACTTCTGATTTCTGTAAAGACAAATGACTAAATAAATATTCCCTTCTACATCAGCTATTGATCAGTTTCATATGACATATGAATTTTCCAAAACTTGTGGGGTTAAAAGGATGCATGTGATACTTATGTCAAACAAAATCAATGATACTTGGAAGTTTAAACTTCAAAAGACCATAAAACAAAATGGTGGGGAAGGACAAAAAGTAAATCAATGAAATGAGAGCTGAACATTTCTAAATGCAAGCCTAAAATAAACATTTTGAAGAAAAATAAACCACTGTTCTTCCATAAACTTTAGTAACCAATAATCAGTGTACTGTTTCAGCTCTTTCTTTAGTTCTCCATCCCTCTCTTCCAACAGCGTGCACGAGATGTGACTACTGGATGTTTTATCAACTCATTTTCACACAATACTCTTCCTTGTTCTCTGTCTTAAAGAATCTTTGTCTCTTATCACCAAAACATCTTTGTCTCTTTTCACCAAATTCCTTTTCAAATTTCAAATTCACTAATAAGTATCCTCTCTTTTGTAAAACATTTCCAGATGTGCCATTTCTTCCCTTTACCACCAAAAAAGTAAAAATAAATCAAAGTAACCTCCCTCCCTCCTTCCTCTGTTCTAATACAGCAATATGTATACTCATCTCATTGACTCACAATTAGTAATTTTCACATTTACTTCCCATATTGTGCTATAAAATCTCTTGGAAAAGGATTGAATGTCATTTACCTTAAGAGCCTCAATTCCTTAAGCAGTGCCTGACACAGAGTCACTGCAGAACAATTATTTAACTGAAAGACTAAATTGACTGAAAGTATGTTTTTTTCTTATATAACACTGAGAGTCAATATTAATACCAAACAACTGATTTAAAGCACCACATCTATTGTTTCTTGGGAAAATATACATGGTCAATTTTTCGTAATATTAAAAAACATTTATTGTGGCTTTAAAAAGTTTCAGAATTAATTAGCAACTCAAAATCTTAAATACAAATTTATAAAAGTTATATCTCAAAATTACTACTGCTTAGAGAAATAATTTCGAGATGTGTTAATTATAATGTTCAATGTTTTAAAAGATACACTGTTGACTGATCCAACTAAAAAAAGACTTTTTTTAACTTTCTGACTAGTCTCTCAAAATTCATTTGATGCACATTATGGTTTCTCTCACATTTTCATAAATTAAATAAGATCTTGTCTTGTTTACTTGAATAATAATCCTTTAAACAGAATACTAAAGTAGTTCTGTAGTTAAAAAGTATAAAACTATTTTTTGATGTTGAAAATTCATTATCACTAGATAATTCACACCAATGTCAATGTGAAACCATTATTGGAAAAATAAACCTATTTTAAAGGTAAACAATTTCTTTATTTTCAAGCAGGCACTTACTTACACAGAACCAAAATAGGAATCACTGTAATATAAGCTAGTTAATACAGCCCTCTGAAAGCTGGCCACCTAGGGATCACTCAGAATCTAACAAATTTTACAGCCAATTCATCTTATAAGTTCTGTTTTAACTGCTTTTTGAAGCTTCTCCAAATATCTTCATCCCTCTTAAAGTACAGAAATCTAACTAGGCACTATGCTTTAGTAGGGTCCTGAAAAATTTGGAAAAAAGATTATTACCAGGTTTTTAGATATGAAAGTACAGTTAATGTTACACGTTCATGTTAGATTTAAAAACAACAGCATTATATTGCTGACTTATATTTAACTGAGGATTAAGGAATCACCTTTTGTATTGCACAACTACTAATATGATAATTTTCTACCTTTAATGTTTTCAATATGTATTTGGTCAGTATTTGAAAAATTATTTCCATTGCTTATAGCCTCTGAAATCTCATATCATTCAAGGTGTGTTAAATTCAGTCACTTGTTTTTTTGCCAGCATAAATAATTTATCGCAAACTCTCCAATATCATACAGTAGTGGGTCTGACAATTCCCTTGAGAGTAGTCTGGGATGGCAGGAGCAGGATGCAGGGAATGTAATAAAAGTGAAGAATGTTAAGACAGGTTGCTGAGGGGCAGACTTCATGCTGTAACCTGCTGGTGATCAATTTTAATCAACTAAGCTACCTTGGGGAGGAAGGAACTGGGCTAGGCCATGAACTCTCCTTCGACCAATGTGCTCCAGGTTTCTGGCCCTCCCTGCTGCTTCCTCATTCATGGTCCTATGGGGATGAGGGAGGTATGGAGAGTTAATAGGAGCTCTAGCTGCCAGGTTTGCAAGTGATACCGGTTGACCATGGGGTTCCCAGTCTAGTCCTTGGCTGGGAAAAGCTTACAAGAACTTGGGCCTTGATTGTAGTTTCTTCTGACAGAAATTACTGGAATCTTAAAAAGTACATCACCCATTCTATAAAAAAATCTTTGATAAGCAAAATGAAATAACCATGAATAAGTGTGGAACACATCTCAATTAGCAAGATGCAACACATACTCTTATAGGATATCACTTCATAAATTCTTAGAAGATAACACTGCATGACTCTTGAAGTTGGATAGCTTTACTAAATTAACCTACAAGAGAAAAACAACTTCCTCTCTATAAAAATACTCATCCTTGACTAAAAAGTCAAAGCAAAATATTATTGTTTTCTAAAAAAACAGTTTTAAATTAATCCTAACTTTATACAGGTCCACATTAATGCAGAGTATTAGGCATATCCATTTCAAATCATTTCTAAATACAAATATAAATCAATAAAATTTCATTTCAAAATTCACAAAGAGACACTGGGACATTATATCAACTTCTAGCACCTATCTATGTTGTAAACTCAAAGTTGTAAAGATTGTTTTGTGTGCTTATAAACACAAACACAAAATTTTTAAAGGTTTAGATTATTTTTTCTATAATTCAATGTACATGATGCTAGAAAATAAATATTTTTATGTGTTAGCTACTTATCCACATTGTTTTCCTTCTCCTATTTTTGGCCTCTTTATCTTTTTAATTTACATTTCTACTTCCTTTCTAGTTATTTTCCCATTACCTTGACTTCTGATGCTCTAATTATATACTCATTTCTAACTAAGTAAAAATTACTGAGGTCCTACTTATTGAGTGTTCAGTAAAATGCACAGAGCCTATAGATTTCCTGCTTCTTGTATTCAAACTGAGTGAATTATTGATATACCAAACTATAGAGACATAAATATAAATAAAACAAAACACTAGTTTCAAGTTACTGAAAATTGAGTAGAATTAGTAAGATATATATTACAACTAAAAAGTCTAAGTAAAGGTGGTATCTGAAAAGTGTCATAAAATGGGTAAATGGGAAGAATGTGAGAAGAACACTGTAGTCTGTTCCAAAAGAAATACAAAAGCATAAGATAATTCCTTGCCCTTAAAACATTTAGATTCTTTTGGTTCACAGGTCAGTGCTCAATCCACTGAGCCACACCAGCCAGGTCACAGCATTTAGGTTCTTATTGAAAAGATAATGCATAATATACAGGGTCCAGCATAAATAATGCCCCTTTTTTATTACATAAAAATATTTTATTACAAAATCATAAGTATGTAATTCTGTAACATAACAATATCACACTTAAGCAGGCCATATGACATTTTCGGTGAAATGTTCAAATTGCTGTCCATCTCGTGTAAGACATTCACAAAACTACCAACTATACTCAATGGTGTTACTTTTGCTGGACCCAGTATAATGCCATGATAATATTAGTAAATTAATTGTAAAAACAATAGCAATACAATAGTAATAGTAATAAAATAATAGCCATTAGTGTTATTGAATGTTTCTATGTGCATTGACATATTTTATGCTTAACTTTTACAAAAACCTTTATTTTAGATATGAGGAAAATTATAACTAACATATGCTGTGTGCCCAAGATTACACAGTAAGTAACCCAGTTTAAATTGAAACAAAGTTTGCCTGATTCAAAACTGTATATTAGTTTTTGTTATACTACTTCCAAAAAGGAGTTTAGAAAATTATATTAAAAGTTATGTTACTGGAAGAATTCACAAATGAATTATGCTATGACATAAACTCTAAAGGAAGATGTGCATTTATGAAAATAGAAATGAACACATTTTGGGGGTTCAAACATGGGGAATGAAATGAATGAGAAGTGTTTTTAATATTCTATTTATTTACATAGTTAATACTGTTTCATCTTTTTACTAATTAATAATAGCCTTGCTGCACAGAGAAACTTTTTGTGGGCAATTTTAATTGTGAGAGACAAAAATAGTTTATTTTCTTAAACTAACATGCCTAAATTTGAACTAAACTGAGATCAGATATTGAATAGTTATTAGAAAAGTACCATAATTCTTTGAAGACTTTGGAGTAAAAGACTAAACTTGATGTCTTCACTGGTTTTAGTGAGCATTATCACTCTATTTTATTGGATGAAAATCACAAATTTAACTGTTTATCAGTTACCTGACATAAAAAAGTACATCCCCTTAAAAAGACAAAGGAAAGGTATTTGATTACCTTGTATTACATGTGAGTTGTCTTTCAAGAAGAAGTTATACAGGTATTTGGGAATAAAAGCAGACATACACGCATATGCTAAGGCTAAGAAAGAAGAAGGCAAAGACATATGACAAATTAGTTAACAGGGTAAATGTTCGGTGGTCATTCACTCACGCATCACACACTCCTTGAATCTACTATTAAACTAGAGTTACAATTTAAGGGCAGAAAACAACCCTCTGCTCTTTAAAACAGAAAATATTTTGACAATAAAACATAACCATTTAGTATCTTTTCCATTTCAAACTAATGTAGAAATTTTTATCCCACAATAATAAAAACTTTTATTATCTGAACTTATACAAATTTTTTTAACAATCTCTAAACATGGACATTAATAATGAACTATACAAACTTCAAAATACTTAGTTTTTGTTGATGTAAAAAAAAAAAAAAAGCCTCAGAACTTGGATTTAGGAACACCACTCATGAATTGTTCTTTCAAACACAGATTGCTTACTACTCTTAGAGCAATATGTGTGATAATGGAATGTACCTAATTAAAAATAGCAAACTTGTAGTTCAGCTAATGAGAAATACCATAGCATAGTACATTTTTAAATCAATTCAAATTGTGAAATTTTAGCTTTTTGGGATTATGCTGTCTATACTCATTTCCAGAAATCTATGCAAAATCTGACATGAAACAGCATTTGAAAGGATGGAAATTCTGAGATTGAGGCTTCTAGAGATTCATGTTATGTATATGGTAAATACATTCTATAAGTGATATCATTAGAGATTTGAGCCATTTAAGTGTAACACATGTTTACGAAAAATCTGCTATAAAAAGACATTATAAGAGGGGAATAGAAAACAGAAACAAAATCAATCATTAAATAAAGCTAAGCAAAAAAAGGATGACTATATTAGTATATAAATAGCTAGAATACAAAACATATACAATACATTCTCGAAATACAAAGTGCTGGGTTTTGGAGGAAGAATGAGCAAGTTTTCATTAAGGAGGCAGTGGTTGAAATGATAGGCTTTGGAGATACAAAATTAATACTGATTTCTTTATAAATTGTTTGGGAAGTATAGACTAAAACTAATCACTAAAGAAGTAAAAATTTTCTCCAGTGTTTCATAAAAATGGTCACCAAAGTAGAAAAATGTCTTAGAATAATCAATGTAAGACTAGTCACTGCCTCATTACAACTGAAACTCTCCAATAATAAATTCTTTACATCCTCTAAAATTATATACAGATTACTTCACAGATATTTATACTAACTCCTAAGGAAAAATTTCATGTTTGAATAAAATATTTTAAAATAATATGCACCAAGATTATTTAAATGATAAATAAGCTTACCTTCATTATTGAAATTTAAATATAGAAATGGAGCGCAAAGTGAGTCAAGACCTGATGGGGAAGGGTTGAAGAAATTCAAATAAGCATAATTAAGTAGAATTGTAGATATATACCTTATCAGTTCTCTACATTACCTCTTCATAGATTATGTATTATAAATACTGCACATCCAGAAATATATTACTTCATGGGTTACTGTGGGAGTAACTGATAGTGACACATAGTATGTCCGCAATACAAATCAGCTATTATGATTATCAATATTATTATGAGTTGAAGAGAGAAACATACTAAACAAAAATGTAAAAATGATAGACGGCTTGGGCTACAGTCCCATTTCTGACCCTGTGTGTTCTTGGCAATCACTTAACGTCTCCAGGCATGTTTCCTCATCTGAGAGGAGGAGATTTGTCTTACGTGTTTCTTCGGTATCATGGAAAAACATCCTTTAAAATTGTGAAGTAAAATATAAACATATGACATATTCCTTTTATTAATAGTGCTGTTCAAAAAATAATAATATTGTTCATACGTTGTCATGTTGAGAGAATGTACATAAATCTATCTACAATTGTTACAAAGACACAGAACTCCTCTAAAATGGACAAAGCTAGGAAAAATAATTGCTTCATTTGAAGTTTGGCCAGAAATAGATAATTATAATATTTAAAAAAACACTGGAACTAGAGAGCATTATGCTATGCGAAATAAGCCAGGAGGTAAGGGACAAATACCATATGATCTAACCTATTAGTGGAACCTAATCCACAAAAGAAAAAAGCAAGCAAAATATAACCAGAGACATTGAAATTAAAAACAATCTAACAATAGCCAGAGGGGAGGGTGGAGGGGACAGAGGAGAGAAGGGTTCTCAGGAACTACCATAAAGGACACGTGGACAAAACCAAGGGGGAGGGTGGAAGCAAGGGAGGGAGGTAGGTTTGCCTGGGGTGGGGGGGGGGTGGGGAGTGGTGGGAAGAAAATGCAGAAAACTGTAAATAAACAACCATAAAGTAATTTATGAAATAAAACAAAATAAAACCCCCCACTGTTTATTACAACATATTCAAATATAGGACTGGTTGAAATCAGTTTCTCATTTGTGAATTTACAAATGGCCACAAAACTAATGAGAAAAGTAAAAATCAGGATATGGAACATAAAGATATTTTTTAAAAGATAATAAATGAAATAAACAGTTTAAGGTGTATCCTATTCCCCAATTCCCAATAAATAGGTTAAGCATAAACTGTAAAGCAGTAACTGTTTAGAATATCAATTAGCCCCAAATTGTTTGTGCTATAAAATTATTATTTTCATAAGCACTAAAACACAAAGATGATAATTTTACAAAATGTTCTTCCTACTTTTCTAATTACTATGATGGAAAATTGTCTCATTAAACATCATGGTTTAAATGTTATCTATTGGCATTTAGGCAAACTTGTAAAAAATAGTTCTTATAAACCTTTCAATAAATGGATCATAGCTCTAGTATTGACTTTTCTCAAAGCAGGGGATGTTTTGATATTTGTTATAATTTTTAAAATTGTTGGTCATGCAACATGCTCCTAATACTTCAAAAGCAGTCTTAATGATTGGAAAAAAGTTACCTTGCCAATACACAAGATCAGGATGGGATACTACCCAGGCTTTTAATACACGCCTAAATTTTGCATGACCTTCTGGTGATGATAACAGTTCATCATACTGATGACAACGAGGAATGTCCACTTCAATCTGTAAAATAACAAAACAATATGATATAACTGTGATCACCAATAACCCCAAGATAAAAATAAAAAAGATATTGCATTATGAATTTCAGAATAGACCACCTACATATGTTGGTGTTTAAAATTTTTGAATTTTACATTAATACTCTGGAAACAACAAAAAGCTTGTATACTTAAGGAAAATGACCATTTCTTTTGAAAAGGTATGTATCCATATAGTTTTCAAAAAAATCTTTCTTTACAACATGGTCTAAATAAAGGACAAATTCTATAGATAACAATGTATAATTATTAAGAATAATTACTTGGCCTAAACTCCTTTTAAGGATAGTTCTAACTCACTAACTTATGAGTACAAAAGTTAGGCTTACTCTAAACAGTGTATGAATATGATGGCTGCTGAGCATAATGAAAGGAAGAAAATTTCCTCCTGCCTTTCTATAATTTTAAGATTTGGCAAAATTAGGTTGTTCAAGAAAATCTAAATCTTACTTGTCTATCTGTAGGAATTGGAGTATCTTTATCAATTGCATCATACTTGGCATGAATAGCCCCCTGCAAAAAATGAGAGATTAATAATAATTCATCATATCCTTGGTAAATTATTAATTTAGGTAAATATACTTATAAGCACCTATTGTTGACAACCCACTCAATTATACATAGGCACATTAAAAACCAAAATATACCTCTCAGAAAAATCATCTACGGTTTTGAGAATCTGTGACGCAAGTCCATGACAATTTGTCAATTTATCCCGAAAGACAAACATGTCGGATGAGTCATGGAGCTAATAAGTGTGCTAGTCAAGCTGCCCAGCCTCCACAATACAGGACAGCCTTGCTGTTCTCCACTTATTACTACCTCAAACACAGTCGGTTTTATGAAAACATTTTCAAAAAAAGTTTTGGGGGGTGCATGGGAGGTCATCCCACAAATTTTCCTGTAAAGTTGGTAATGAAAACAAAAATAAAAGGAAACTGTTTTAAAGAGTGGTAGTTTCAGCACCAGGAAGCAGAAGTTTGAAAGAAAGTGAAGCATGGAATATTATGTAGGTATGGAATCATTAAGGGACTAAACAGATCATTTACACTTTTTAGTTATACCAGTATAGAAGAAATGATTGAATAAACCACTTCAAATCTTAGTCATGTTCAATAGGACCAACAATGGAACAAATTTTATTACTCTGGTTTACTGTAATCATGTAGAAAGAGCCAGTAATTTGGGGTTCAAATTATGACATTTGCTGTATCAATTTCTATGGTATGTCTATTTAATGACAGATTTAGACAACCTGACCTCAGAAATAACCTTGAACTTTAGCATTATATGGTTCTACAATGCTAACTATTAATGTGTGGTATGGAACAATAGGCATTCTTATAAAACAACCACCCAAACTCAAAGATGTTTGTAGAATCTCATCAAAGAAATCAGGAATAAATAAAATTAGTTTAAAAGGGAGCTGAAAGAATTAAAAATAGTTTGAGGAAATTCAGGAAAAAAATGTATGATGGACATCCATAAGACATTGGTAAGAGAATATCTGAGGCAGGATGACAAAGAAATTGATGGGGGAATAAAAGGGGGTGGTGAGAATTTGGCCCATTTTCATGACTGCTGTTACCAGAGTTCTCTGTTAGTACTGCAAGTCACCCTGACAATTTGGGACACCTCTCCTTTCCTCATTGCCACAGATTAGTCATTGTACAAGACAAAGAAGCTATTTGTCTTGGCAGTATGGTTCTTGTGCAATAGGTGTGCCAAAAGGCACTAAAATATGTTAATGATTTTTGATATGGTTCAAGTGGGAGATTTCTCCAAACTTAGATAGAACTACTTACAAACAGGCAATTCTATTCCTAAATAAACATATTTTATAGGCATGATAATACACTTTTACAATATTTTACAATACAATATTTTGCTATTGTGTTCTTTTCCTCCATTCTTTTCACTTAAAATTACCAAATATTCTTTTTTAAAATTTTTATTTATTTATTTATTTTTAGAGAGGGGAGAGAGAAAGAGAGAGAGAGAGAGAAACATCAATGTGAGGTTGCTGGGGGTCATGGCCTGCAACCTAGGCATGTGCCCTGACTGGGAATCAAACCTGCGATGCCTGGTTCACAGCCCGAACTCAATCCACTGAGTTATGCCAGCCAGGGCAAATCACCAAATATTCTTAATGCTTATATTTTACTACATAACTTTCTAACTTGAAAACATATATTTGGAAAGTACTTTCCTACTCCTTCCTTTCTTCTTAGCACTCTTACAATTAGCTTCTAACCTTCTCTTTTCTTTCTTACCTCCACTCCCAGAAGAGCAGCCCAGGTTAAACCTCTCATAAGTGGAGGAATATCAACTCTTGCTTCTTTCCAGATTTGATTTTTTTTATACGGATAAGCCTAGAGATGAAAAAAAAAAGATATAAAAGCATCTCAAATTACTAAGTAGCATATATTCATCTAAAAGTCCTAAATATATACTAGTGATAAAATTGAAAGAGATTTTCAATAAATTTCTAACTGTCTTTCATGTTACTACTTTGGTACTATTAATACACATAAGTTGGCAGTGCAACGGTTCCCTATATTCTATAAATCTTATATAGTACAATTAGAGGAGAACTCATTCTACTGTTTTCAATCATTCTGCTCTATTTGGTGCTCTGAGACAATTATCAATGAGTCACATGGAGAATAATACTACCAGTCTCATATGGGTTAAATAATGTATGTTTATCACTTTGTAAAAGATCTGGTGATACAGAAAGTATTTAATAAATGTTATTATTATGGCTACTTCTATATCCTTGCATATAAATCTTTCCTTTTATAAATTTGTCCTTTAGGAGAGAGTTCTAGAAAATAATTATTATGACAAAGGGTATACATATTGTTAAGGCTCCCTATATTTAGGGTCTGGCACAAAAAAACACCCCTTTTATTACATAAAAATCTTTTACTTTAAAATCATAAGCATGTAATTCTGTAACATAACAATATCATATCAAGCACACCATATGAGATTTTAGGTGAAATGTTCAAATTGCTGTCTATCTCATGCAAGACATTCACAACCTTACCAACCACCCTCAACGGCATTACTTCTGTTGGACCCTGTATAGTTTGAAACTGCTTTATATACTGTTTTAGTCAATTTATACTTATTCTAAAGGAATGAGAGTGCCAATCTTAATATGCCTTTGTTCACTTTACTAATTTGATAATCAAATTTTTCTACTAAAATTTCCTACTAAAATTTTTTTCATTCCTAGTGAAATTAAACATTTGAATAGATTTACTGATTAGTTGTGTTTCTATTATGTTCCTTATTCATTTCTCTTTCAATATGGGTGCTTTTCCTACTGATTTTTCATTGTTCTTTAAACATATAACTATTAATCTTCTGTTTCATATGATTTTGCATATTTCTTACATCTTGTTTTTACTTTTTAATTTTATTTACCATGAATATGTATCATTCTTATAATTAAATGTTAATTAGAAAAGATATGTCATAAGACTTAGTCTTCTCATGACATCAAGATTCCCTAATAATTGCCAGAAAAATAAAAAATAAAGATTGAATGTGGGCTCTTATAAGACTTTCCACATTAGAACCCCTACCTTTAGCAGCCTGTCAAAGAGAATGATTCTGTTTAGTTGGTACTCTGTGTCCCTCTCTCTGATGATTAAAGGGAGAGTGGCAGCAGCGGACAACTCATTATTGCTGTTTGAATGAGGTAAATTAGACTGGCTGTAAAAGAGAAACAAAAGCAGAAAAAAGGTATAATATTTAAAAAAACAAAACACCATACTAAGTGTTCTATTTAGAAAATAGTCTTCAGAGAAAACATATGTTCCTTACCAATCAGCAAAGAAAAATAAGTATAAAAGGGGATGATATACACTCACTCATCTTCAAGTAGTGGGTAAAATGCTTCTCCACCAACATCTTTTAATCTCTGTGAATTAAAAGAGAAATATTTACATATGAGAATCTGAGACAAAACACTGAACCATATTTAAAAAGGAAAAATAATGTAAAGTTTATGAATTTATAAAGGTACCAAGAGGAGTATAAAATGAATTTAAAATTCATTCCTATGATAAATATGCAAACATACTATTCCTCTAATGATTTAGCTCTGAAGAGTTTTTATATGTTGATTATTTATACTTCCAGGAGTATCTTGTAAATGTTAGACGACTACTATTATTTTTTCCAAACACATTTCAGAATTTTTTGAATTGCTATAAAATTTAATAAATGAATAAAGCATTTTTTAAATTAAAGGTTACTTTAAAAATACATATCTTTTAATTTAAAGCACAATTAGATTTATGTTTTTTTCTTCAGAATTAATATAAAGACAACAGTAAGAGTGCTAATAAAAAATTCAAAAGAATTTCTCACAACATATTTTGAATATGTATGATTCAAATACTGAATAAATCCACTGATGAAGTTCAATTTTCTTAATTATCTCTTCACAAAGTAACTTTAATAAATGTTGCCCCAATAACAACATTTTGCAGGACTTTAGGTATCCTTCAAGAATGGGTGAAGGCAGGCAGTAGTAAAGTAAGATCTTACATCCAGCCTAGGCAAGGGGATCCAAGTTAATGCCTTCTTGCCTGCTGCTCTGCCCCAGTGCAGCGTCCAACCTGAATGCAGACTGCCTGCCCCTGTGGGCACTGATGCAAATTTAAATTTAACTTGTATTTATATACTTTGGGTTATAAATAAGTTAAATTAAGAGTAAAATGAAATCAGTTAAAAACATATATTTTGGATGTAGTTTATTGTTTGCTCCTTGTATTGCCATTTATCTACTATACACATTCTCTCTTCAGAGTTCACTATATTATGTAGTAATAATTATATATTTTTAATTTTTTGTTCCTGACATTCTAATATCTTCAAATTATATAATAGGTAAAATATCAAGTGACAGAAAAGCCTTAAAAATAAGGAAAATGCAGTGATATGAGACATAAACCTGGGCTTAGAGAAAAAGGAGGGAACCAGCGCTGGTAACTGTGGCCTATGGTTTTTAGAGCACAGTGGGATGAAGTCTTGGTTGGGCACCTGATTAACTGCCAGTCAGACAAGGGAAGACCATGCTAAATCCAAGTACAGAAACAAATGTGTGTGTGTATGTTTTGGGAGGTTGGGGGGTGCTGCTAACCTCTCCAGGTTAGAGAGAAACAACAAGGAGTTTCAGCTTCATCTACACATGGGTTAAAATAAAAAGGCTATGAGTTTTGGTTTCCAGTTCAATGTTCAAACAGCTTGAAAGTCATTCCTCCTCCTCTAACAAAAAGAAAAAATCTAAACAAACTGAAAGTCAACTTTTTTTAGAGCAGAATTAGAACAAAATGCTGCCTGGAAAACTGGAGAGACAGACAAATACAGAGAATCACAGCTAAGCTGGAGCAGAAGTTACTGTCGGAGCCTGGTAAGAAAAACTGAAGGACAATTGACTAAGCGCAGCAGACTTAGCGAGGAATAACTTGAGAGAGAAAAACTGGAGACCCGGCTGCAGGGGAGCCCACACTCCACGAGTTTTACCTCTACAGGTACCAACAGATTCTCAGGATAAAGATCTGAGAAAATCCCCTCAGCTTCTGCAGACAGAAGGGTAATGTAACCATTCTGAAATTCCCTCAGAGCACTTTGCTTTCATCAGTAAAGACCTCCCCTCAAATGTAGGAGACTGTTCTGTGTGTCATGGGCCCAGCTCCCACTCGGAGATGCACGGGACCCACACCCACAGAGAGGTTCTCTAGTGGGGAATCAGGCCTGCAATATGCCTAGGCCACTTTGAGTCTTGCTCTTGCTAAAAATCTCCCTCACCCTGAATTGAGGACATTTACTGCAAAGTAACTTCCTAAAATCCATGCTAAACCTTCCAAGGATGAATGTAACCACTTTTGCCTTTTCATTTGCAAATATCCCTCCTCTGTGATGTGATTAGAGGCAGTGGTTCCTCTGTTTTCTGTAAAAGGTAACCACCTAAAGTGAACCTGTGCATAGTAAATGAGGACCATCATGTAATGTGACCAGAAACCCAATAAAGGCCGGTCAGGGCAAGGGGCAAGGCTTTTGCTCCCCTTGAGAGGAAAGTCATGCTGTCCCTTTTCCTCCACTGGACTCAGTCCGTGTGAATATATCATTTCATCTATAATGATGCAGAACACTGTGGGCCAGTCTCTGCATCACTCAAAAACTATTTTATAGAGCCTAAGTGACTGAGGGGAAAGAAAACACCCAACTCTAGCCTCCTCTAGTCTTTGATGTGGAAGATAAATACCCAATTCCTGCTGCCTATTGCTTTCCTGTCTTATGAAGTAGAAAGGAAAGCTGAACGTTACAGCCCAGAGACGGGCTCACTAAAAGTGCGAGAGCTAATATAGGATTACAGAACACCTTTCCTCCCCTACCGTACCTCTGTATCAATAGGGCTTCTGTATAATAATAGATTGCAATGAAAAGAATTGAAAGTCTCAGACCCTATTTTAAAAAGTCTCTAGGGAAACCGAAAGACAACAGAGAAAACAAGGACAAAGACAGTTGAAAAAATTTTAGCCTCTGACAAAAAAGCTACACAAATACTTAACAGCTAGATAAACAGGAAATCTTACAGTAAAGGCCCATTCACCACAGTTCCCTTTATAGATTCATCATGCTGAGTTTCTAATAAAAAATTGCAGGGCATACTAAAATGCAAAAAAGATACTCTAAAGAAACATAGAAAGCCTTAGAACCTGATTCATAAATGGCAGAGATTTTAGAATGATCAGATCAGGAACTTAAAAGAACTATGATTAATATGTGAAGGGCTCTAAGAGGAAAAAGTAGACATCATACAAGAACAGGTGGGTTCTATAAGCAGAGAGATGAAAAGAATGTTAAGAAAATAAGTGATTTGAAAAGATAACAATAGACACTTTCTAAATTGAAATGCAAAGAGAAAAATGAAAAAAAAAAACAACCCAAAATATTCAATGAAATATCCAAGAATGATGGAACAATTAAAAAAGGTATGATCTATGTGTAATAGAATACCAGAAGGGGGTGAAAGGAAGGAATTGAAGAAATATTTGAAGTAATAATGACAAAAATTTTCAAAAGTAAACAGACACCAAAAGACAGAGATCCAGGAAGCTCAGAGAACTCTGGAAAGGATAAATACAAACACACTCACACACACAAACCTGCCCCCATAAAAAACCCCACAATAACTAACCAACAAACCAACCAACAAAACAACCCTTTCCCCACACCCCAAACCTAGGCATACTATATTCAAACTGCAGAAAATCAAAGACAAAGAGAAAATCTTGAAGGAAGCCATGGCCAGGGAGGGATGGGAGTGGACCTTACCTATAGAGGCACAAGGATACACATGACATCAGACTGCTCTTCAGAAACCATGCAAGCAAGAAGAGAATAGCATGAAATATTTAAAGTGTTGAAAGAAAAAAGCAACAAAACTTCAATTTTTATACAGCAAAATTATCCTACAAAAGTGGAAAAACTAATTCTTAGACAAACAAGAATTGAGGGAATTTGTTGCTAGTAGACTTGCCTTGCAAGACATGTTAAAAGTTCTTTTGAGAGAAGGAAAATTACAGATTAGAAAATTAAATCCACATGATGAAAGGAAGACTGTTAGAGGAAATATAAATGAATATAAGGAATACGCTTCATTTTCCTATTCTTAATTGACCTAACAAATAACAGTTTGTTCAAAATAATAGGCCAATGCATTTGGTTCAAAGCTTATGGATAAGTGAAAAGACTGGCAGCAATGCAATAAGGGATGGGAAGAAGGAAACAGGAATGCACAGTTAAAAAACAAATGTACTACCTAGGAAGCAGTTTAGCATTATTTGACAGTGAACTTAAATTAGTTGTAAATGTATATGGCAAACTTAAGGCAACCACTAAAATTTTTTAAAGAAGTATACTTCCTATGATAAAAGAAAAGAGGAAAATGAAATCAAAGAAAATGGTCAATAAAAATTGAGAAAGTAGAAAAAGAAGTAATAGTAAAGAGAAACAGAGATGGAAGGAGGGAGAGAAAGAACAAAGAGGGCAAGAATACAGAACAGTTACCCATATGGTAGATATTAATGTAACTATATCAATAATCTACCAATTAAAAGATAGAAACTGTTAAAAAAAAAACAAGACCCAGCTCTATGCTGTTCATAAAAAAACCACTTTAAAGATGAAGACATAGATAGATTAAAGGTAAAGATCAGAGAAAGATATACAATGGTAACACTAACTGAAAGAAGGTGAAATAGCAATATTTATTCTTTAAAAAAATGACATTAGAGTAAGAAATTTCACACACACACATACACACATTCTATTTACAAGAGCAACAATAAAACATCTCAGAAATAAATTTGATAACTGACATATAGACATTAAAAAGGAAATTGTGATATGAAATAGGACTTAATGTGGCATATCTACCATTTTCAAGAAACAGGACTCTATATGCTAACTATATCAATTCCCTACAAATTAACTTATACATTTAATGCATTTCCAATCAAAATCCTATAATTTTTAATGAAATTTGAGAAGATGATTAAACAGAGCTCATAGTCTATTTAGAAGAGAACAAATTAGAGGTTTTCCCCTGCTAGACTGTAAGACCCCATATAAAAGTATGAACAAGATAGATTACTATTGGCTAATGTGAGAGAAGTAAGTCCAAGATCAGAATAGAAGCCCAGAATCATATCCATGCAAATATGAAAGAGCTGACATTATGAATCAACAAAATCAAATTATTCAATATAGTGCTAAAACAGGATGAATGAAATAATATTTATGAATGAAATATATATTGGATAACCACCTCACACCTTATTAAGAAAAATCCAGGTGGATTAATGGACTAAATATGAAAAAAATTTAAATGTTTTAAAAGAAAATATAAAAATATATTATACAAAATATATTTATAACCTTGGTATAACTATAAATAAGTTACAATAAGTAAATCACAAAAAAATGAAACATAGTTAACAATAAAAAACACTGAAAAAAGAATTATATTCATTATGAGAAACTTCAAAAAGTTAAAGGAAAACCTAGATTAGAAGAAATTTGCAGGGAATACATTTTTAAAAGCCCTCAAATCAGTAAAAAGTCACTCAATAAAAAATTAGTAAAAGATATGAATTAGTCATGCACAGAAGAGGTAACCAAACAGCCAAAAAATATGAAAGGATTTGTAGCTGCACTAGAATTAGAGAATTAAAAATTAGTATTATAACAAAATACCATTCCACATCTTTTGGAGCAACAATTAAAAAAAAATTATGTTACCATGTGTTAATAAGTATGTGGAGGAGTAAGAATTCTTTATTTAATGATGGTGAAAAGATAAATAAGACCACCTTTGGGAACAATCAGACAATATATACTAAAGCTGAAGATGTATAGATGCATTTCCAAAAATGCTATACCTGGGCTCATATATAAGGAAACTCTCTTATATTTTGAAATCAGGAGGGAATTCAGGCTTTGTGTGTATCTGTAGGGTTTCAGTTTAAAAAAAAAAAGGGAGATCTGAAGCAAGTTTGCTAAAGCACCATCCTTACATTTCTTAGCTGGCATAATGACAACGTGATGGTGGTGTCATCTAACAGGGAGCTTCTATCTCGACCTTGTCCAAAGCTTTCACCATCTTCAAAGAGAAAACTAAAAGAAATTTTAAAAAAATATTTTAATGGGTACACAAAATCCAATTTAGTATTTATCCTAAGGCATGAATCCCTTCATTAAAGAAAGAAATTTTAGACTGAATGAGTTAATCAAAAAATATAACTGCTCTTTAAAAATTCTCTAAACAATTCTCATTTTTAAATATATGTTGAGTAGGTATGAATACAGTATAAATATAAAGCATTTTATGAATAAAGAGTATGATTTACATACTTTGCTAAGGCAGGTTCGATGTTAAAATTACATTCTGATACTCTTTAAATATGATTCTGAGAAAGTTTGAGTCAAGAATGATAAAGTGAGTAAAAAAAGGAAAACCTTATGTAATGATGGTAACCTCTCAGGTAAAAAAATATAGAATAATAAATGCATGAACTTTGTTTAAATTTTTAAAAAGCTACTCAGAATTTAAATATCCTTTAAAGCATTTAGTCTTACAATTTTTATCATTTTATTTTCTGATTTTTCTACTTAATTTAATCTGAGCAGTATAATTAAATAAATATTTTAAAATTAGTTTAAGAGAGAAAAATGTAGGGAACCAATGGTCTATTCAAATAACTAACCTAAAAAATTTAACATGTAAGAAAAAAATGACGAGCAGATGATTTTTACAGTTATCTACAATGATCAATTCTAGTCCAAAAATCTAAAATTAAAATTTTAGAGCATTGTTGGAAACTTAAAAGATTCATGGTCATATCTCTGAATAAATATTAAGAGCAAGAGAACAGCAATAATTTTGGCCCTAGGATTGTATTGTTATTTAAATTCCAGTCTAACTTATAGAACGGTACCCAGGATCTTAAGCAGTTCTGCAGATTTTTATCAACAGTAACTTAGCACTTGAATGATCTCTAGCAAGTAATAAGGTCATAGAATACATTTATATTTATGATTTATATTTGGAAATAGAAAATAGTTTCTCATAGTAGGCATATTCATTGATTTACTCTCAAATACTACTGTTCTGACTTATACATTTTTAATTTATTAAATATCAATTATAAGATATTTCATAATAATAACTTCACTTCAAATGGAGGATAAGCAAATTATTTTTTTAAAAAGAATGCTCATTAGAAAGAGAAGTATTGATGGGCACTCTACAATTAGACACTTCATTAAAAAAGGTACTAACTTCCAATTGTTTTCATAATCACTTAGTTGGAATGTCTATCAAAAATTTTTTAAGTATTATTACTAAATTGTGCTTCTCATTTCCAAAATTTTCATTTTCTTACTTGGGGAGTGTGCAGATAGGTGGTTTGGATCGAATGATTTCCTTGTTGACAAGCTCTTTCTCCAAGTCACCTCCAGCTAAACACCAAAGGTAATATACTTCTTCAATTGATCTTTCTGCCAGGTAATCACTGTTGATATCTATTAATGACAAATTAAGGAGAATCAGAGCTATCACACTTTTTGTTTTTATTAACAGCCAACAGACAATATTAGCTGATATTATATAAAAAAAGCACAAACTGAAAAACATAGTAAGATATCCTTAAGAATAATCATATTATAAAATGCACAGAGTATAAAATGTACATTCATTTTCTTGAGAAAGAGTAGAATTTTTATCCTCACAGAGATATGGGATATATTTCAGCTATATTGGGCTCTGCGGGATAGGAATAAGGGCAGCTAAAACCACATGAGTAGGCAACCAACACGAACTGCTCTGTTGTTCAGTCCACTGCTGCCTCTTCTGAGAAGTCTTTCTTGATGTGCTTTGTTCACACTGCCCTTCACTTGTAATAGTGATAATCTGACAAAATGTCTGCCTGCCTCCCCATTCGGCATGAACGTCACCTGAAGGTAAAGTGTATGGAACAAAGCAGGGACTCAATGGATATTTAATTGGATGAATGTTTAATAACTATTTCCTACCATGACTTACCTCATAAAACTTTTTGGCATAAAAGTAACTTACTGGTGTCACTAAAGCACACATTCTGAGAGTTGTAATCTTCATAGTGTGATAGAAAAAGGTGATATCCCCTTAAAATGTGAAATATAATAGTACAAATGTCCTATCAATAATACCATGTAAAAGATAATTTATAATAAATTATGTGATATATAAATGTTGATGTAGTAAAATTTCCATTGAAAATTAGAAAACTGATTTTAGCATAAAGATCTGAGATGAAATAGGACTTTGTTATACATATTAATTTTTGTGGTTCCACTTCATCTCCTTGATTTTTTAAAGTTTATGCTCCAAAGTAATTTAAATTTAAAGGATTAAAAGTTTAGTTATATAAAATGTTAGGTTAAGCACATCCAGAATTACCTCTCAGTTCCAAGATGAGTGCCCATAAAGCCTCACTAATGTGTTCTACATAGTTGATGCAGTCAAAACTGGAACTAGGATAAGCATACTGACTTTAAAAACAAGGCTTCTAACATTGCCTATGTTTACTTAGCATTACCTTTACACAGCTGACTGATGTCTTCAGGCAGAGTTAAATCAGCACATCTTAGAGAAGATGAAAACAAACTGGCAGGTCTTGTAAATGGGGGGTATAGAGGTGACACTTCACTGAACACCTGGTCCTGCATCAATTCATCTGGGGTTGGCCTCGAGAAACACATTTAAAACACAGACTGTGAACGAAAGTCATTAAAATTTCCTAGAATAATGGCATACATTCAAGGGGATAGGTAAAAGTCTTAAATACCTCATCAGCATAGAATATAAAAAAGTCCTACTTGGCAGAGTCTGAAAGTACACATTTATATAATAATCAAGTGACTGTAAGTAGTAAATGCTGAATTTTTTACCTCTGTTGTGCTTTTTGCACCTATGAACTATCAAATCTATTACATATGGGCATCTCAATGTTTCAGTTTTAGCTCGACTACCATGTACCTGTTTTACTGAATATCTTACATAAAATGATACAATTTAATACCATTCAAAACTAATGGTACCTCTTTGTTTTCTTCCTATCCTTGGTTTAATATAGCATATTTACCCGATACTATGCTTTTAATATCATTCCCCTCTTCCTAACATGTCTTAGCGAAAATGTTTGTCTAAAGACAGATCAGAATACATTATTTTCAAATATTATATACCTAAAGAAGTTCAGGGACAACTATACAGCTAATAGTGACATACTCAAATGAAAAGATAAAATAAAACCTCTAAGAAATTCTTTTATGTAATCAACAGTTGTGAACTTACCTGACCATGTATAATCTTTGCTATAATATAAATTTCCAGTAAGCTTTCATTCTCATTTCTTTTCTATCATTTGAGTCTAGAAATATGCATATCCCACAATTTAGCTGTTTTTTCAATTGGAGGCTAGAAAATGAACTAGTAACTTCTTTTAGTATATTCCAGATTTTTGTCCATGATTTAATATGTTTCTTCTTTTACGAATACACATTAAAGCCATGACTACCATTTATTACTATATATATAAGTATATTTATTTAATCCATTGATATCATAACTAATAATAAAAAAAACAAGTACTTATATGTTAAAGATCTCAGTGTAATCCCAAATTCTTAAAATACCAACCTCTTAGAAGGGTGAAAGGTGAGACACTTCTTCAAAAGATCTATCATGTTTTCAGGAAGCTCCTGGTAAGTAAGGAGAAAAAATATTTAAAATGATACATTTAAAAATACATTTGATTCAAATGTTTGCTAATCTAGGATGCTTTGATTTTCTTTTTGTTCCAAAGATTTATTTGTACCTGGCAAACACAAACCATTTGTCCTTTCATCTTTATTGTTTTTTTCTTTTCGTTATATTTATTGGGGTGACATCATTTAATAAGATTATATAGGTTTCAAGTGTACATTTCTATGATACATGATCTTCATATTGCACTGTTTTGATTTTTTTAAAGTCTTTATTGGACTTTATCCCAAAAAACAGCTTTAAATTGAATCTCAAACATGCAAAATTAACAAATCTTCAATAACAGAATACTCACAAACCTTTATAATATCCAGACAACCATGCTCTTCAGCTAGAACTATTATAGTGTCATCCACGCAGTCTATAAAACAGAAAAATTATAAGAATTAATGCTGCTGTTCTAATTCATCAGACATACTGGGTACCTAACTCTGATAATTTTTAAAAACATTATGTAATAAAGTTTTGGAAACTGTGATATTAAAAAGCTTACGACTTTTTTAAATTTTATGTACAATGGTAAAAATAAAGACTTCAAACACTAAATATTAATTGTATCAAAGATACTGAAAGATAGCGGCTTAAATGTAAACAAAGCAGTGTTAAAGGAGATAAATAATTCTCAGCTATGCTTTCTCTTTCTATGTACATGTTTGAAAAAGCACTTATTATTTTTTCATGATTATAAGACTAATTTATTTTTATTATATACAATTTGGAGAGTGTACACATTTCTCTGAGAATTTAAAGTATAAGTTAGTGTGTAGATGACATTTAGAAATTGCCAAGACTCCTTAACAGCTATATTATCAATATTTAAAATTAAATGTGGTAAATGTGATAAAATTTTATGGAATTTTATTTATGATTTATTATCATTTATTAATAATATTCCATAATATTATGTGTAAACACTATTAAACTGTATGCCAATCTGTCACTCTTTTACATAAAATGCTCCATCACTGTTTTTCTGTCTTTTTTACATGTTTAATTTATTCCATGCTAAAGTAATTATGCAAATTTTTATAAATTTCAATGATAATATTTGCATCTGATATGTATGTAAAATACATGAGCTTGTTATAAGAAAAAATAAACATTCTTCCTGAGTCATTATATACACAAGTCATCAAACAGAAAGCTAAAAAGTTGACATATTGTGTGACAGTAAACTGCTACAGAAAAGTATGATTTTAAGTTCTCATAGTTTGATTTCACACATTAGTTTACTTGGCTATTTCAGAGGGGAGGATGTGGGGGGAATTGGAAGAGATTAGCCAAAGAACACATATGCATATATGCATGCCCATGGACACAGAGGACAATGTGGTGAAGCAGGGGAGGGGAAGCGGAGGAGAGAGTTGGGTGTAGGGGGGTAAAGGAGGGAGAAATAGAGGACATCTGTAATAGTGTCAACAATAAAAAAATTGAAGAAAGTGAGGATATTTTAGTGTATTCACTATTTTATTTTATTTTTTTCAGGATTTGGAAAATCAGTTTATTTCTTAAAATTCTGTAAGTCAATGAGCATTTTATAGGCCATTCTTATTTTTCTCTCTAAAACAACTTACGTCTGCCTTCATGATTCTGTCACAAAGGTTCATATAAACCAATTCTCCCAACTGTGTCTCCTGTAACAAACTTCTTTGAGAAAGCACATATAACTCAGTCGATGTGGATATTAATTAAAGCACTTTCTGGAAGACTTTGAGGTCAGCAGAAAACTTATCACCATGGTTCCCTTCTAGAAGTGTATTCACTATTTTAGACCAATACAACCTCAATGTATATGATTACTAACAGTCACTAAAGATTGTATTTGTATTAGAAAGATAAATTATATGACACTTACCCAATGTAAGCACAAATTTTAGTCGTTCAGAAATATCCAAGCTCTGAAATAATTTTCTTCCCTAAATAAAATGGGAAAAGAATTCATGTAAACATTTGCATCTATTTTTTCTAGGGAGATCTTTTTCTTCAGAGTTGAAAATTACTTTATTAGGTACTTCTATTTCATTTTTGAAGTTTTATTAGATTTTAAAAATTAGTTCAATTAAACAAAAATTATTGGGTACTTGTTTTTCAAAATGTTGCACAATATTTAACATTTAAACACTGTCTATATACATATACACATATATACATATATGTACATATATACATATATACACACACACACACACACATTAAATTTTAGTTTGATTTCAAGTGCTTTTGAGACCTACACATACCTGAATGTCTTGGTGGATTCCAGGTACCAGGAGTGTTATTAAGAGTGCAAGATTCCTCCCGAGAAAGATTCAGATTACCCTTTCAACTACCCAACTATTTCTGACTTACATATTATAATCCATGCAGTCTGTTGTCTCTATTAAGAAACATTCCATGAAACTTCCTTTTCCCACAATGATTTCAGAGTCACCCTTTGTTCTCCCAGAGCACCTGGTATATTTCTGTTAAAACACATACATTATACTTTAACTGTTTCTTTATTATTTAGCTTCAGGAGGCTCCTTGGAATGAAGTCTGGAATCAAATACTTCCAACTTCAATGATTACACTCTGAGAAACAATTGTGTATCAAATTTGACATTCTACCACCACTTGTATAACTTGGGTAAGTAACTTAGTCACCTTAAGCCTCACCTTTCCCACCTATAAAAATGGAATATTTACTGTACTTTCAGTAGGGGCTATATAATGTAAAAAATTCTTAGCATTTTTTGCCCATTGAAAAGGCTTCATTAATGTTCACTGTTGTTTTGCTTCTTTTATTATAACCAAATTAAACTTGTATGGCTTAAAATATGAACGCTTAAGAAAAGATAGCATGGTTTTTATGTAAAGAAAATGAGACTCCAATTTTTTTCAAATGAAAAAATCTTTCTCAAATATTTATGAAATTAAAAATATAGGTTGGAGAAATGAATGAAAAAAGTCATCCACCACTTATCTCTCTTCTCAATCTCTTACATACCATATTAGCCATCTAAAAGTTATATCATAGTATAAAGTTTTGATTTCATAAACATCTGTTAAAAACTTTAAATGGCCCCCATATCTTATATAACTAAATGCAGACTTCTCAATTTAGCCTTTAAAGTCTACTAGATGTGACTCTAATACACCTTTCAGTCTAAATGCTTGCTATTTGTCCACCTTGTGATGAACATGGCACACGCATGTTGCAGTTCCATTTGGTTACTTGCAGTACAGTGAACACACTGCCTGCGTTCAGGTCTGTTGGCTTTGACTCATGTTATTTTCCTACCAGTAAATTTTTCTTCCTGTTTAATGGATATTAAATCCATTAATATCCATTATGGATTTAATATCCATAATGGATATAGATTTAATGGATATAGAATCCATTATTCTATATATCCATTATTTCATTTTCACTGCTGAATGTTAATTTTTTGCATTAAAGAATTCAACTACTTCCTCTGAGGACATTGATGGCACTGTCCTACTGTTTGCTTGCTTCCACAATGCTAAGAAGTTAAATGCCAATCCAATTCTCATTCTCAGTATGTATCTTTTTCTCATTAACACTGATAAAGACATCAGAGCTCAGTAAAGACAGTTTAGTGTTTTGCTTAAGTGTACCACTTTTGGATGCAGATTGATGGGTATAAATCTGCTCAAATACATACTGTTATATAGCTAGAAGAGGTTGCTTAACTTTTCTGTACCTCAATTTCTTCATCTATAAAGTAAAAAAAACAAAACCAACCTGATAAACTAATAAAACTGATGTGAAAATTGATTGATATAATAGATGTAAAGAGATTAGAAAAAATATCTGGCTCTTGATAAATGCTCAATAAATATTATGTATTATTTTACTATTGGTTATCGCCTAAAAGTTTAGCATTAGATTTCCAGATATTTGTTGTTGTTTGTATGTTTATTTTCATTCCCCTTGCAAGGTATTTAGCAGGTTCTTTCACACTATGCAGTTTCTACTTCTAAAGTTATTATAAGACAGATATTAGGACATTTGAATCTATCTTCCCTGTCTTAAAAAATTTCTTTTAAATTTAAAAAATATTTTCAATCTCTATCTCTTTGTGTCATATTCTGGGGGAATTACTCACCTTCATCTTCTATATTCAATCTGTCCATTTTCCTATGAGCCACCAATTTATGTTTTTTATTTCAAAATTCCATATTTTTTTCTTTAAACTCTTAACTGATTCTTTTTCTTTTTCAGTAAATGTTCTTGATTCATAGTTTCTATACTTGCTTCATGAATGGAATTGTTTCCTTTGTCTCTTAAAGAACATACATATTTATTTTAAAGTCTTTTCAATGGTGTAAATTCTTCTGTTTGTTGTTTTCATTGGTAGTGGTCATCTTTAGATGCTTTGTATTTGTTATGTAAGTAGGCACATCTTTACAAAATTCTATACACCCTTGAACCATGAAAACTTCTGGGTGGCTAAGTGGCTGCATTAACTTGCCAGTGAGCTTCTCCCTTATTTTCTCAGAATTCTTAGTGTACCAGAAGTTCCCTTTGTTAGTTGTTGGTATGTTATTAATTTGTATCTTAATATTTTAAATTAAAGGGTTTGATGATGCAGAGGAAGATTTAAGCCGGTGTTTTCAGTCTGCCATCCTGAAATTAGACTGCCTACACTTTGAGTAGCACTTAAAATGTCATTAAACCCACATGATGAAATTAATATTTCCTTTCTTGGTATTCACACAGATCTCTGTGTTTACCTTCAAAGTTTATGGATTTGAATTTATAAGCTCATTTGGTATGTATCTTAATCACAGTCTATTCCTTGTTGAATCTGTCATGATGTTATATATACAGCAAATATTAACGTTTGTTGAATTACTCATATAAGACATACCTTAACTATAATGCTTTATTACCCCTGCTGTTGAATTAATTCCTAAATACAAAAATGAGGAAATAATGTCTAATTCTTAAATACGGTAAAAATTAATGACAATATATTCAAACTATCTTGAAAATTCCTTGGAAAACAGAAATAATAGATAAATAATAAAAATTTCTGCCTCAAAAGACTGCACAGTCCAAGTAAAACAGACAAATTTGACAAGTGCTGTAAGAGGAAAGGGGAATAATAAAGAGGAACCTAAGGCAAGCAGATACTTGAAGGCAAAATTGACAGACTGTTAGTTGTCCCTCCAATCTCATTCTCAACATCCTTCTCAATATTTAGGTGTCCAGCTGAAGACAACATTTCCTAGTCTCTCTTGTACCTACAAGTGGCAACAATGAGTAAATTATCACTAGTGAAAATAGAGAGGATAATTGCAACTTCTAGATCAAATCCTTAAATACAGTTACCATGAAATCATTCCTCTCATTTCCTAATGGCTAAAAAAATGGGGGTGATAAAGAGAGAACTTTGGAAACCAGATGTTGAGAACAGTGGAGACATACCTGACAGCCCAGATTTCTGCATAACATTGTGGAATAAAGCCCACTCCACCCTCACTGGACCCTTACATGACGGAGAAAAAACATCTACCTACTTTAAGCTACTGCATTTTTACTTCCTGTGCTTTTAATTTCAGCTTAATCTTTACCCTAATAAATACAGAGGATTTCTAGGGAAGGCCTCATAAAAAGCCAACAAAGTGAGTCCTATAGGAAACATTAGAGAACAAAAGAGGAGAAGATATTTAAGAAGACTATCATAAAAAAAGACTACCATAGAGTGGAGAGAGCTAGAACATATCAAAGAATGTAAGCATTTTTAGTAAAAACATTTTAGAAAGTGACAGTACAGTGTAAATTTTTATACCTAATATAAGTATAAAAATTTCTAGAGATACTAAAATGGTATTTATACCTAGTAACATTTACATTAACGATTAGTAAAAGTGTAGACATTTCTAGAATTACCAAAATAATAGCCAAATTAATTGTCAAACAGAATTTTTCTAAAAATCAAATTGAGAATTAAGCCATTTCTCTTCATAATAGCCAATTTGTGAAGCAAAAACATATTATGACTAGTTTTTCTATCCAAAAATTATTCTAGTAAACACATAATTTCTTTTTATTATTTTAAAGTTCTTCATACATACCACACAAAGTTCAAATAAAATGATTCCCAGAGACCAAACATCTGACTTGGGGCCAGAAGGCAATGGTTTTTCATTTGGCATATGATCAGTGGTCTTGGAAATTCCTTGTGCAATTACCTCAGGTGCCAAGTATGATGGATACCTATAATGACATATTAAAAAATTAATAATTATTATGAACTCCAAAAGGGGAAAGAAGTAGAACACTTTATCATAGGAAACAGTGTTTATTATTTTGAATAATAGGAAGTCAAAATATTTTAAAAATCTATAAAAAACTAAGACTCTCCCTCTCTGTACTCCTGACACTCATTCATATTTATGTATATGTAAACCTGACCACCCATCACAACTGTCCCACAAGGCAGCCTACTATACACACTACTCGGTACCCTTTTTATTCACTTAAAGTATAGAAATCATTCTACCACAATAAGTATAGATTTGCCTCATTCTTTCTGAAAACTGCCAATAATTTATTGTATTGAGGTTCTTAATTTATTTGACCAAATTCTGATGAAGAACATTTTGGAAGTTCCATTCTTTTACTATTATAAACAATGTTGAAATGAATATGAATATTTCATTTTCCACAAATATGAGATGACAAATTTCTAGATATGGCACTACAAAGTCATAAGGTATATGTATTTAAAATTTTGATATATATCACCAACTTGCTCTTCCAGATTGTATCAATTTATATTCTTACAAGCAAAACAAGAGGGTGACAATTTCCCTTTACCTTTACCGACATAAATTTTCTTGAAAACTGCTTTAGTAAGTACTGTAGTGAGTAAATATTTACTACAGACAGAGTTTAACTATGGATAAGGTATAGAAAATAAAGCTCTGATAAATACCTGTGTACTTACCACGCAGCTTAAAAATACCTTATTATCACTAAATGTCTATTTCTGCTTGTCCCTAATTATGCCTCCCTAGTATCCCCCCAGAAAGGAAAAGACAGCTAGAATTTTGATGTTTATAATTTTCTTACATTTCTTTACAGTTTTACCATAAGTGTACTCCTAAGTACATTTAGTCAAACATATTTCTAAACTTTATATTACTAGACAATATTCTTCTGTGATTTATCTTTTCAATCCACATTATGTATTTGAAAGTCACCCATACTGTTGCATATAGCTACATCATTAATTTTTACTTGTATTTTATGGATATATCATAACTTAGCCATTCTAATATAATGGTTATTTAATTTGTTTGCTGTTTTTTAAATATTATAAAGTGTTACTCCGCCCTGGCCAGGGTGGTTCAGATGCTTGGAGTGACATCTTGCAGACCAAAAGGTAGTGAATTTGATTTCCAGTGAGGGCACATACCCAGGTTGCTGTGGGTTCTATCCCCAAACTGATGTTTCTCTCTCACATAAATGTTTTGCTCATTCTCTCTCCCTCCCCTTCACCCTTCATCTCTCTCTAAAAGGAATGAAACAAATGTCCTTGGGTGAGGATAAAAAAATAAAAATAAATATAAATAGTGTACTATGTACAATGTATATCTGCAAAAGTCATCCCAAGGGTGTAAGCCAAGAACTGAATTTCTAAGCTATTTTTAACTTTTTACAATATTGTGGCAAAGGTTTTTTGAAAGGCATTGAATCAATTTGTATTCCCACTAGCACTGTATTACATTTCCTATTCTTTAATTCTTCTTCAACACTTGATAGTGACAGGCTTTTTAATATTTGACAATTTGGTAGGTGAAACCTAAATACCATTGATTTTAATTTGTATTTCCCTGATAAGAAGACTGAGGCATGTTTTCATTTTTATTAGATATTTAGGTGTGCTATTCTGTGACATGCCTGTTCAAGTATTTTTCTTTATTTTTTACCTTCAATATTATTTTGTATTTAAGTTTCACTGATACAGCATAGTGGTTAGATAATCATATATTTACAAAGTATTCCCCACAATATTTCTAGTACACACCTGGCACCATACAAGTTCTGTCCAGAAGATATCCAGCCAGGTAATGTGAAAACTAGAGACATTTATTGAAAAAGATACAAGATACAAGGAACATTGTACATAGGGTGATGACACCTCAGTCCCCTGCAAAGTAGGCACCTTGGGACCTCACAGTTCTGCTAAGTGCAGCATGATGTTCCTTCTGCTCTGGTGGCAGAAGCTGCAGGATGAATTTTGGTACATTTCATGCCAAGATCCTGCATCAAAATCTCAGACACAGTAGCTTTTGGAATCCCCAGATCAGCTTCTCGTTCTCCCACTGTGAATTGCCAACCTTTGTTGATTGCAGCCCATGCACGTTCAACATTCTCAGGTGTTCTGCTTATTGCAGGCCTTCCAGAACGGGGGCCACTTCAAGAGATTCTCAACCATCTTTGAAGTGTTTGTGCCACACTTTTATTGTGCTGCACTCATTTTATCACCCCTTAAAGCATCCTGAATCATCTGAATAGTTTCTGTGGTAGAATGTTGAAGCTTAACACAAAATTTGATGCAGATTCTTTGCTCTACTAGCTCAGTCATTTTGAATGTGATGGTCACACAGTATACATGCTCACTAAACAGCGTCTACCACCCCCACTGACCAAAGCAGTGAAGCCGTCATTGTTCATACATACACGTTTCAGTCCACTCTTTGGGGCTGCCAGGTTACATGGACATCATGCAAACCATTCTCCTTATATTAACAATGGCTGGACTGTTTCTGGACAGACCTCATGCACAGTTATTACAATATTGTTGACTATATTCCATATGCTGTACTTCATATTTCCTGTGACTATTTTTTAACTATCAATGTTGACTTGTTAATCCCTTTACCTCTTTTACCAAGTTCCCCAAGCCCCCTCTGCTCTGGCAGCCAGTCTGTTCTCTGTGTCTATTCATCCGTTTCAATTTTGTTTGTTCAACTATTTTGTTATTCAGATTCCACATATAAGTGAAATCATATTATATTTGTCTGTCTTTGACTTATTTCACTTAGCAAAATACCCTCTAGGTCTTTATTCATTTCTCTGTTAAATTGTTGTGTTGTGGTCCCCAGTACCACCCCCACATTTAGAGATTCACCAGGACAAATAAAACTCAGAATACAAATGTATTCACAGCCAGGATTTTTTCCCCCTGCATTTTCTTTTCTTTTTTTTTAAATTATTTTATTGTGCCCTGGCTGATGTAGCTCAGTGGATTGAGCGTGGGACTGTGAATCAAACGGTCGCCAGTTCGATTCCGTCAGGGCACATGCTTGGGTTGCGGGCCAGGCCCCAATGTGGGGCACATGAAAGGCAACCACACACTGACTGAGTTCTCTCTCTCTCTCCTTTCCTTCTCCACTCTCTAAAACTAAATAAATAAAATATTTTTAAAAATCATTTTATTGTTGTTCAATTCCAGTTGTCTGCATTTTCCCCCACTGCTCTTCCCCCACTCCAGCCAAACCTTCCTCCCTCCCTTGCCTCCACCCTCCCCCTTGGTTTTGTCCATGTGTCCTTTATAGTAGTTCCTGAAAACCCTTTCCCCCACTAGACTCTCCCCTGTCCCCTCCGGCTATTGTTAGATTGTTCTTAATGTCAATGTGTCTGGTTATATGTTTGTTTTCTTTTGTTGATTATGTTCCAGTTAAAGGTGAGATCATATGGTATCTGTCCCTCACCGCCTGACAGCTAGGATTTATTATAGTGACAGAGTAAGAATATATAGCTGAATCACAGGAAAAAAAGACATACAAGGAATCTGTAGGAACCCGTATATGTAGGTTTCCTTAAGCTCTCTCCCTCCTATCAGAGGTCATATAGAACACACTTTTCCCCAGCAAGAAAAATGTAGAAACATGTATGCAATGCTCTGGCCAGGAAAGCTCATTAAAGGCTCAGTGCCCAATGTTTTCATTGACTGGTCATGCAGGCATCTTCAGCTTAGCACACACCAAAATTCAAGACCCCCAGAAGGAAAGTCATTATTCTGCATAAACCACATTCTTTACACAAACAAGTACAGGAAACTAACCTTATTAGTTCAGAAACCATGGGATCAAATGCTTTTGAAATTGAAATTGCCACATGTTAGTCAAGAACCAACTACGCAAGGAGGACTTAGTTTCTAAGGATAGCTGTGACATGCTTGCTATGTTAACCCTTACTCCATAGTTGTTTGTATTTCTATTACTGTTTTTGAGAGAGTTCTTTATAATTCTGGATATTAATTCCATTTTCATTAATTATGACTTAAAATAATTTCTGCCATATTCTGGCTTGTCTTTTCATTCTCTTTTTGGTATTCGTTTATGAATGAGAAGTCCTTAATCTTTAAATTAATTAATCTTTTCTCCCATACTTAAGTGATTTTTTATCTTGTCAAAATGATCTGTGTTACTTTCTGAAAGTCTGATAGTTTACCTTGCATATTTAAGTTTCTTAGTCCAACTGAAATCATTTTTGCATATATACAATTTTATCTTTATTCCTACATAAATAAGCAATTGAGCTCTGTTTCAAATATTGAACATTATTATATTTTTAGTCTATAACATTATACAATAATTACTAATAAATGTTACAACAAGCCCTCCCAACACACACATTCTCTTTAACTTATCTTCAGGAGCGTCTAGGTCCTTTTCAGATGTTTGCTCTATATATACACACATATTTGAATTATCCTGTAATATCTCTCTCACACATACACACACACACAGTTGGAATTTCTACTGAAATTAGATCAAATGTTGAGACAGGTTAGGGAGAACTAGTCTATTTCCAACACTGACCCTAACAATCTATGAACATGATAGATCCATATTTATTTATGTACTTCAAAAAAGATGCATTTTTCCCAAAATTATTGATTATACCTCATTAGATTCTTGTTAGGCATTTCATATTTTCTGCTGATTTATAAATAATTTTTTGGTTTAATTTTTTATCTAGCAACCTTACTACACCTTTAGTCTAATAATTTTTGAGGACTCTTTTGAGTAGTTTTTATAGATAATTAAGTCATCTGTTAATAATGATATAAAATAACAGGATGCCACATTTAATAATGTCATAATAATTTTAAAATTATAATACAATAAGTAAAATTAGAACTTTAACATTTTATGTGGTATCTTTGAGAAGTCTTAAGGTTAATGTCAGAGTAGCTTACC